TTATGATTATTGATATAATGATTATTAACACAATTATTATTGATATAATGATTATTAACACAATTATTATTATAATGTCAATATAATACTAGTATCAATAAAAGATGAAACAAATATATCCAAAAATCAAGGAAAAGAGAAAACAGGTGAGAAGGTAGGGACCAATAATTGACTCCTTAGTAATTAAGTACTTGTGGAGCCACCTATATGTAAACAAAATTGGTAAACTAAGATCACAGTGGACATGGCTACATCCATCCCCAGTGACAATGGGTCTCTGTATCATTTGATGCCAGACTACTTCAGTATCCATTTGTTTGTCTTTATTTCTCATTTTAGTGTCTCACTGTAATTTTTTTTTTGTCCAGTTCCAATTTTACATAATATTATGTATTACTGATGTTTATGATACAGAGGGATTTGAAATGTTGTATATTTCATTTAGATGATAATGATGATTTTTAGAGATGAAGTAGGTTTTATTTTTTCTTACATAAGAAAAGACTACAAATCTTATAAACAAAATGTGAATTTGTTAAAACTATTTATGGTTTGTTTGGTTCTTTGTTTGATGCTCACTAACGAAAGCAATTATAGCTTGTTGCCTCTTTTATATAATGATCCATGTTTGCCTTGTGTTTGTGGTCATCATAAAAGATTCACTGTACTTGTGGAAGGAACTCTGTGACAAGGAAAAGTTACAAACGTACATTATTATTTGTTTATTCATTATTGTTATTTTTGTTCTATATGAACGTTCATAGTGGAGAGTGTGCTGTTAGTTCATAGGAAACCTATTTCAGATCCCAATGGTGGGCCAGTGTATCAGCTGGTCTCAGTGCCCCTAAGCAATGACATAGCCTCCATTTTTGAGCTTGAACCCACCACCCTGATCCGAGGAGACTCCATGGTCCCACAGTCCTCATATGTGAGGTTGCGGCACCTTTGCACATCCACATGGGTTCATTCTACATCAATTCCCATTGACAAGGATGAAGAGAAGCCTGTTATGTCAAAGGTGGGTTTTGTGAAGTGTTTGTCTCTATTTTGTCTCTGTTCTTTTATGATTCACTCTGTTGCATAACAGATGAATTAAAGCTTTGTATATTATTATTTTGTTTTAATTAAAATTAAATGTGGCAGTTGTCATAGTCAGGAATGTATGGCACACTTTATGAAACAGCAAAAACTCTTTTACTTGTCAGTTTATCCATCCTGTTGTTATGAAGGAGCTCTAAATCTTTCCTCGCTCTAGAAATAAAGAGAATGATCTTCATGAGTTCATATAGAAAGGAAATATCAAGAGGAAGTATTTAATGCTTTCCAGTTATTATATTTATTACTTTTAGGTTGGCTGTGCACCCATCAAAGAAGACAAAGAAGCTTTCTTTTTGGTGCCTGTACATGCAAAGGAAGTGAGAGATCTTGACTTTGCAAATGATGCGAGTGAGGTTTTAGCCAAGCATGCAAAAAAGCTTGAAAAAGGAGCTATCCCTCAAGCAGAAAGAAGGTAAGTTGTTCTAGCTGAGATGAAGTCATTATTATTATTTCTCCAGTCACATCATCTGTATTATGTTCATTGGAAACAGTGAGAAATGAGGGCATTTTGCTTATACTGCAACATATGATCATTAATTATGTGAAAATTAAGATACTGTTGGAAACAGTTCTTATTTGAATAATTGTGAATGATTAAAGATTTTGTTTTTGTTTTTAGTTTTAGTGATACATACCATCTAACAATGATAAATGTATTCATTTTACAGATCCCTGATATTTTTGCTACTTGACCTTGTATATTTTATTGCTGAGAAAGAGCATGAACAAAACAAAAGTGAACCTTTAGCTTTAGGATTAGATGTGACGAATCCTAATAGAGATCGACAGAAACTACTCAGAGAACAAGACATTTTAAAACAGGTATGTTGGTTTGTGCCAGCTGGAGATAAAAGCAGGTTGCAAATTTTTGTAATGAAGAAGGATTTCATTTCTGAATACAATGAATTAGGCGATATTTTGCAGTTATATGTTTTAGATTTCCCAAAATCTATTTAGTGGTAAATGATGAGTCATAAATTGCATAGGTTTGTTAGAATAAGTTTCATGGTGGTTTTGTAAGTTTTGAATAAGATTATATAAATGAATTTGGAATTAGATTCATCAATGGAATTAATCCACTGCATTCCTTATCGTGCAGATTTTCAAGATCCTCCAGGCACCCTTTACGGAGACACAAGGTGGGGATGGCCCTCTCCTAAGAATTGATGAGTTGAATGATCCAAGGAATGCAGCTTATAAGACAATCTTCCGTCTCTGTTATAGACTTTTAAAACTTGCTCAACAAGGATATAGAAAGAATCAGGTATTGATAAGATTGTGAAAAAATTAACAAATGCAGTCAATTTTTATACTGAATGTGAGAAATGTACATGTCCATCTTCAATGTATTTGGTAAACTATTGTGGCTAGTGAATATTATAAGGATCATGATAGTTAATGTTGATCATATTGAATGAATAGCTTTCTGAAACTTATGAAAAAGTAATGCATTAGCCACTATGATAAGTATTTGAAGTATTTTCCATTCTGTAAGATTTAAATTTTCACAGTCAGCACTGATATATACAGTACAGTTTAAAATTACTCCTAATGCAGACATTTATACATTTTTTCTGAAACTTGCAGGAATATATTGCTCAGCATTTTGGTTTTATGCAAAAGCAAATTGGGATTGATGTCTTGGCAGAAGAAACAATTACAGCGTTACTTCACAATAACCGCAAACTGTTAGAAATACACATTACTGCTGCAGAGATAGAAACATTTGTTGGACTGGTGCGAAAGAATATGCATAAATGGGACTGGAGATTTTTGGATTATTTGAAGGTAAGTATACAGTTATTTGCAGTGAATTGAGAGTTTTACAAACTGTTTTATTAATACTGTACTCCATATATTGATGGATAGGTTTTATGATACATAATTATTTTTATACAGTACTATACTTCATATGTGCATAGATTGATTTTACATATATCCATTTTTTTCAGGTGTTGTGCATCTCTAACAACCAGGCTATTGCTCGAACACAAGAATTGATTTGCAAAAGTGTGTTTAGCGAGAAGAATAAAGACATTCTTATTGAAACCAGGTGATTAAGAATGTTGTAATTTGTTAAAAGTTAGTCTTATCTGATGAAAGTGAGAAAGTGTTGTTGGGAAATGAGAGAGAGAGAAAAAAAATCAGTGCCAATGTTTTATAAGATGTTCATATCTGAGAAACATCTAGAGAAAAGGGAATTTATATGTTCAGTTGCAATCATGTAAAGTAGAAGATTTTTTCTGATATAATTATTTTTTCTGTTCTTATTTTTTACGTTATTTATTCATACCTGCCTGCCTTCTTTCTGTTCTCCCCTCCTTTCTATCTGTCAATATTCTTTTGATAATACTGAATTGCTTAACTTTTCTTCAGACTTGTTGAAGAGGATATTGAAGTTGAAGTGGATGTTGAAGGTAGTGGTTCTATGCTGGCCATTGAACAGGATGAAGAAGTTGTATTAACTTGGAATAATGGAGAGGTAAGCAGTGTCACATGTTGCTACTTGAGAATAACTGGGAACATGAAATGAAATGTTTGTTGCTTTTTAGTGATAACTTCTGTTGTACTCCTTCATGATAGTGGCAGTATGATGTTGAACTGACTCACTCTGGATGATGTCCCCTCATTTCATACTGAAACTGTCACTAATGCTGGCAAAGTCCTATCACGCCACAGGCAGTCGAGCTTGCTCTTTGTTTGCTTGTTTGACCCTGACTTTTGGTCACTGAGGAGAACCAACTGCTCAAAAATTGTCTGAAAGCCTCTATTTATTTAGTCTTATTTTCTAAACATAGTCTTATTTTTCTCGTGTATGCCACAACCAAGAGCATGGAGAGCAGATCAGATGTATATTTCCCATTCTAATTTTTCAAATATAGTAGGATATCCTGTTGTGAGTGGGTTAATAGTAGTCAAAACGGTAGTCATTAATTTTAGAGATATGGATTAAATAAGATGGTTCATAGAACTTTATAATGCAGACATATTTTAAAAATTTCAGTGCTCAAAGTCCATAGAAGAGTTGGCAAGCCGGGCCACCATGGGTGACTCAGATGGTGGCGAGGACAAGCTCATATTGGAATATTACAGACACATGCTGGATCTCTTCTCCAACATGTGCCTTGATAGACAATACCTAGCAATAAAACCCCTATCACCTTTACTCAAGATAAACCTTATGCTCAAGTAAGAACCGGAAATGCTAATAATCTTTATAAAATGAATATACAGTAGAATATCAATTAATATTTTTGTGACCATGTATTGCTTTGGCTTGTATTAAATATGAAAGTCACTTTCACCTTGGAACAATTTTTTTAGACAAGAACTTTTATTATGCATCCATATTGATTATAAGGCAATAACTTAGTCTTATGCTTCAGTTTATGAATAACAGGGTAATGCCTAATTTGCTTCTGCAGATGTATGGAGATGGAGATTCTTCCGTATGATCTACGTGCCTCTTTCTGCCGTTTAATGTTACACATGCATGTAGACTGTGAACCCCAGGAAATGGTCACACCAGTGAAATATGCCAGGCTGTGGTCTGAAATTCAGCCACAGATGTCTATTGCTGAGTGAGTATTGTTTAATTTGTAATTAAGAGTGATAAGTGCTTCTCTGTATGTGTTGTTGAAGACAGTTATTGTTAAAGCTAAGTGCTCTGTATTATATCGATATATTTTTTCCAGGTATAGGAATTCATGAATGATCTTTTACTGTAGGGTCATTCTGTGTCCTTTTGTAACTTATAATTATAATGTTTTTTAGTAAAGATTTTTTATGATAACTAAACTTACATTGTTTCCTGTTTTTCTTTATTGATTGATATCCAGTTTCAGCCTTTTCAGTATGATTTTGTAAAACATGTATTTGACTATGTACATGTGATAAAATAA